CAGGATATGCAGGGTTTGTTTTAAGGGAGGTGGCAGAATCCTAACCAGTTTGCCTACTGGTTTTATAGCCTGTGAAATTTAAGCAGTTTAAACACAATCAGAACATAATTTCTCATTTTTACAAGGAGATTAATTACCTAAGGCTTGCCTAGGTGTAGGATTCTACACAATCACAGTTGCAGGAGCTGTTTATACAGTTTGAGATTATTCGACCTATAGGCATGCTGGATCTAGGTGATACACATCATAACAGGCGATTTATCAATTTGTGTTTAGAGACATGATACCCATGCGTGAGTCTGTTTTTAAACCTTTTCATGGATAGCTATTGATTTAAATAAACATGTTTCAAACAGATGCAAACAGAGTTCTTAAGAACATGGTGTTTAATGCATACAGGAATGACAATTTTTATTAAGATTACTTAATAGCATGATGTCTATGTGACAGTACTTGCGAAGAACCAAGAATTGAGCATGCAACATGCAGAAGCAGTAAATGTGAAGGCCCTAAAGACAAGATATCTAATGCACAGGTTCAACATGGTTTAAAAGTAAATGAACACATCAATCCTAGAACATGGCTTCTAATGCAGATTTGCAGAATATAAAGCCTATAACATGTTTTCTACCCAGTTTTACCCACAGTATCATACAACTAGCCTCCATTTCCACTAGTTACCCCAATATCTGTTTAAAAATGATTATTACAGACCAGAATTACATAAATGCAATGTAGATTAAGTTATAGGGAGCCTGATGCATGCCCAAAGCAAACCTGGGGTATCGGGCCTTCAGTAGTCTCAAATGCCAAGGGCTTCATTGCCAAATTTGTGTCCAGGTGTGTCAGAGTTCCCTAAGGACCTCAAGGATCCCGGGTAGTGCTCACACCCAGATCTTTCTCAAATAGAGACTGATTATGTGCAGTGTGGAAAGGGCCAGCCCTGATATGCCAGAGTTCAGAGAGATCTCATGGATCCCTAAGCAGTACACATACCAGAGGGGCAGAACTTAATAACCTAAGAGTAAGTGAGAGTGCTTGACATAGTTTGAAAGACTTAGTGAAAACAGTTTAGGAGTGAAAAAGGTTTTTCTAGAATAGACCAGTTTTGAGGAAATACTAGGAATGAAAGCCAATTTTTTTTAGAAGAATACTGACAACATTTGAAAACAGTTCAGAAGAGAGCAAATTCAGTAGACAGTCAATAAATCATAGAAAGGTTCAGATTCACATGTACTATAGCAGGCAGGTTTGCACATAGGGGTGAAAGATATTGGGAACATATATGAACCTCATTGGGGTGCAGGGAAGCATGTAGACAACAATATGTATAGAACACTTAGGAAATTCATAGCCTTAACAAATTAACCAAGATGGTAGGCAATCAAGACATGGAGCAGGGATGTAGAGGACAGAATCAGACACACAAGTAGGATTAACCACATGCATTAAGTAACCAACATGATCACACAGTTGAGGATTAAGCATAAAACAAGTTGTTCAAGCATCAGATAAACATGTGAAGTGTAGACATACTAGTTGTACATTGAACAGGGCAGAATTTAGACATACTTAAACCAAGAAGTAAATAGGAGGATAGGTCAAATTCATAATCAATGAACTAATGCAGGAATGAAACATATAGAGTTTGGGTTTCAAATTTAACTAGAGACATACCAATTGAGGAAAAAGAGTGCAGAATATAGAGCATGTATAGTATCACTATCTAGCATTGGCTTTCAGTAGGCTAGACCCACAATAGCACAAGTAGTAAAGAAAGAGGAGATTTTGAGTGTATGTGTGTACTGTGAACTGATGTTCGTGTAGAAGTGAGAATAGAGGAGAGTATGTATAGTACTTAGGAGCAAAATAGAATAAGGTAAAGGAGATCAATCAGTCAGCAATTAAGGAAGCTCACGGAATCAATTATGCACAAAATCACTAGTCTCCCTTAATTAAGGGGTAATTACCCAACGGTGAAAAGCAGGACAATATTTCAGGAAAGAAAATCGAGTAAGACTTAAGTACAGAGTGGGCAATTAAGGGTAAATAAGTAGGGTTCCATTAAGGAAACAATCTTGAGGAATTAGTAAGTATCACAGTTAATTAAGTAAGGCAAGAAACTAAATAAGGTCGCAAATAAAGGAATAATCAAGAATCAGCCCCTAAGTTTTTACGGAGCAAATCAGTGAATCACGAATACAAGATAGTACTGATTTAAAGAAGAAAAATATATGTTTCCACAAATACACAAATAGGCTGTGTAAACACACAGAATCAGTCGAGAAATCGAGTCAGAAACCTTAATAGAGGCATACTAGGGTAAAAAATCACAAGACGTTTAAACTAGACTAAGGAGAAATCATGAGAATCAAAACATAGAACGAAACAGTGCACAGGTAACACGGTCAAACTCAAAATCAAAGCAAATGTCAAAATTGGGGTTTTAGCATAAATCAACTAGGGCTAAGGCAAACTCAACATGAATCGACCACAAAGCACATAAGAAGAGAAGGTTAAACATTCAAAGTAAGAAAACGTTTGGAGAAAAGGATTTCTAGGAAACCCTAGCTTTAGCAAAAATGGAAAATAACTCGAAAAACCAGAAGATTTTTTATGAAAAACATGTGAAATAGGTCAGATTCTTCTCAAATCTGTTCAGATCTGAGAAGATTAAAGACAAAATTTAGGGTTTTCAGAAGTAAATCAGAGATGAGAACGTAGACTCAGGAACCCACGGATTTAAGACGAAATAAGAAGTTCTTACTCAAAATCGAGCCACAACAGCCTAAAAAAGGCAAGAAAGACCCAAAGGCGTAAGCAGACTAGCCCTGGACCCTTGAGAATCTTCTCAAGGACATTAGAGATGGAAGTACCCAGCATAGAAGAGGCCATTAGAGGCCTGGGGTGGTGAAGAACCGCCATGAACGACAGTAGGTGAGTGACAGCGGTAGAATTAGGGTTCGAGTTGGAGAGCATCTGAGAGACAGAGAGGAGAGGAATTTAGGGCAGCGGATGTAACAAAATGACTAGGTTAGGGAGGGTCGTTTGAATTAAAAAAGGTAAGAAAGGATGAGGGTCGTTGATCTCCGAGTTCAATGGCCAGGATTCAAAGGGGTCTGGGTCGGGTTGTATTTAATTGGGGTTGGGTTAATGAGTTATTTGGTTTGGGTTCTGAGAATTGGGCTAGGGATTTGGGCCATTAATTTGGTCCGAAATTTCGGCTTTTGGGCCAGCTCTTGAAACCCTTGAGAATAATAAAAATAAATTATTAAAACTTCTAATAAATGGTAAAAAATAATATTTATGTTGTGAAACTATTTTAAAATAATAACTCAATATTATAAAAATATAAAAATGATACTTTGACATCGATAATATAATAAACGCAATTACTTGTAAAATATAGGCCGTTATTGCAAAATTAGTTAAATAGCTTAATAATGCTAATGCAATTATAAACAGTAGGATAAAAATATGTGAAACATGTATTACGGATGCAAATGATAATTTTGGTGTAATTAAGTCATCACAAAGTAATTTGAAGGATAATTACTAGATATTTATATAATTTTAAATATAAGAAAAATTAATTTGAAGCTCTAAAAAAATGGAAAATTATAGAAAATGCTTGTATAGGTTTGTAGGCTAAGTGATGATGCAAATATGCTATTTTGGAAGTATATATGTATATTAAAAAATATGAGGGCAAAATTGGGTATAACACTAAGTACGTATATAAATAAAGTGGGCAATAATCTAATACTAATAAAGATACATATACTAGTAAAAATACATAGAAAATCAAACAGACTTTTAACAACCCTCTTTCCCTTTGGGCCCGAGTCCTCATTAATAAATATTGTCGCTCTCATAGAAACTTCCAGTCCCAAACTCATACCCGTCAACGTAGAACTGATTCAATTATCTGGAGCAACATTCTTAAGGGATGGTACTTTTATAATAAAGGTATCCGTTGGATCATTGGAAATGGTAAAAGCATTAATTTTGGGCATACCTAATGATTACCCAATATTGCTACCGGACATACTCTCAATATTCCAGACCTCAATGAAAATGGATCTTGGAACCTCAAAAACATTTCTTTTGAACTGACATGCCAGTTGCTTAACACTATTAATAGTGTTCAACTACCATTATTCCTTGAACATGAAGATTGGCCAATTTGGAAACTAACAAAAATCGGCAGTTTCAACTCAAAAACTGCTCGGACACTTATCAAATCTAGCCACTCACACACTCTCAACTTCTGTTGGATTTGGAAGCTCAAGACATCAAATAAAATAAAATTCTTCATTTGGTTATGTTATCATAATCGTTTACCAACCCGAGTCTATTTAAAATAGATAAGGACTCAAGTGGCTACTTAAAAACCTAATAATTCTTCATTCATGACAATCCATCCTCCTTGAGAACCTTGTCCTCAAGGTTCTTTAAAATATTATGAAAACTGGGACATAATGAAACTGTAATCTTCCCAAATAGCTTGCTCATGCAGTAGATTAGCCCATTGCACCAGAACTTTGAGTATTGACTTTTATTTCCTTTCTTCACCATCCTTCTGTCCAGTACAACAATTGGTTATGTCAAGGGCTGTCCTTCAGCAGAACAAATCGGAGGATCTATTGAAGGAACAACCTGTGATCCCACTTTCTTCTTAAGATGAGAAATGTGAAAAGCAGGGTATCTTGGTTGTAGGGGCAAATTCAGTTTGTAAGCAACAGGTCCAATCATTTGTGCTATATCTGATAGGGCCCATAGAATTTAGAAGCCAACTTAAGACTTTTCCTCACAGCTATGCTAGTCTGTCCATAGGGTTGCACTTGAGAAATACCCAGTCACCTTCATTAAACTCTCTCTCTGTTCTTCTTTTATCATCTTCATCTTCATTCTATTTTGCGCTTTCTCTAAATTCTCTTTCAGTACTTTTGCCATAAATTGTCTTTCTCTGCGAACTTGATCAACAATGGCTACTTTAGATTGTGAAATTAATTCAAAAGAGAGTTGTGGTGGTTCATACCCATACATTACTCTGAATGAAGTAATCTTCAGGGCTAAGTGGTAGTTGCTGTTGTACCAAAATTCAGACAATGAAAACCATTTACTCCACTCTTTATGTTTGTGTTCAGTCATGCATCTCAGATAATTCTCAAGGCACCTATTTAACCTTTTAGTTTGCCCGTCAGTTTGTGGATGATAAGAAAATTTTTAAAGTAATTGTACCTACAGGTTTTTGAAAAGCTCCTTCCAGAAATTATTGAGGAAAATCTTATCTATATCAGACACTATGCTCTTAGGTAATCCATGTAGCTTGTACATAGTGTCCATAAACACTCTAACTACCTGAAAGGCTGTGAAGGGATGAGACAAGGCAATAAAGTGAGTATATTTGTTGTAACTATCTACCATATCATAATAGTATCTTGCCCTTCTGATTTTGGCAAACCTTCAATGAAATCTAAAGATATGTTCCCAGGATTTTTCTGGTACAGGTAATGGCTGTAGCAACCCTGGATAAGCCACTTGTTCATCTTTGGCATGTTTCACATTCTTGGACAACCTTTTTCACATTTTCAATTATGAAAGGTCAATAGAAAATTGCCTTCACCCTCTGATATGTTCTTATCACTCCTGAATGTCCTCCCAAGCCAGAGTTGTGAATAGTAGAAATTAGTTATTGTCTGAGAGTACCATGATTGCCAACCCATACTCTTCCTTATGCCTTATTAACCCTTGTTGCAAAGTATTATCCATCAACGCAGAAGGATTAATACTCAAGGTGGTTACTATCTGTACCACCTCCTGGTCTCCTTCATAGCTTGCCAACACTTCTTCAAACCACTTAGGTTGCAGCTGTGTTAACATCAAACATTGTGGTTGATCTCCAGTAGGTTGTTGTTCATACTTTCTCAACCGTGCATCTGCAATGATATTTTCTACTCCTTTTCTTGTATTGGATCTCATAACTTAAACCCATTAATTTGGTTAAGACTTTATGCTGAAGAAAGATTGTAATTTTCTGTTCCTGCAAAAACTTCAAGTTAAAATGGTCAGTTTTGATGACAACGTGTCGCGGATGCAAGTACTGCTTCCATCTATCCACTGCAAGGAGTAGAGCAATCAACTTTTTCTCATAATGGATAGTCCTTGGTGCCTTTTGCTGAAGGATTGGCTCATAAATGCTAATGGTCATCTGTTCTGCATCACCATTGCTCCCGCTCCAGTATTAAATGCATCAACTTCTAACATGAATGCCTTGTTGAAGTCATGTAAAGCCAGAACTGGAGCAATTGTCACAGCCTGCTTAAGGTTATAAAAGGTTGTGGTAGCTGCCCCATCCCGGTTTAATCCTCCTTTCTTTAACAAATTGGTCAAGGGCTTGCTCGATTGTGCATAGTTTTGATAAAATTTTATGTAATATCCTGTTAAACCCAGAAAGCCTCTCAACTCATTAACATTTACTGGCTGAGGTCAATCTAACATTGTAGATACATTTTTGTCATCAGTGCTTACCTCATTGCCTGAGATGATGTGTCCCAAATATTCTACCTGTGATTGCCCAAGCTAACACTTGATTCTTTTGGCAAATAATTGGTTCTTCCTCAGTAGCTGCAGCACAACCTTAAGATGTTTCAAATGTTCCTCCATGTTTTTACTGTAAACTAGTATATCATCAAAAAATACCAGTATAAATTTTCTCATTTGTTCAGTGAACACAGTGTTCATCAAGGACTGGAATGTGGTGGGATCATTAGTCAGCCCAAACGGCATGACTCTGAAATGCCATAGTCCATGGTGAGTTCTAAATGCAATTTTGTGTTCTTCTCCAGCTCTTATTCTCGCATGATGATAACTAACTCTAAGATCCACTTTAGAAAATACATTAGCTCCACATAGTTCATCTAACAGATCATCTATCATAGGGACTGGATACTTATTTTTAACAGTCAAGCTATTCAATCTCCTATTATCCACACATAATCTTCAAGTAGAATCTTTCTTTTTAACCATTAAAGTAGGAGAGACAAATGAAAATTGACTAGGAACCACAGTTTCAGCTTTAATCAAGTCATTAATAATGGACTCTATTGCATTTTTCTGATCATGAGAATACCTGTAAGGTCTCAAGTTAAATGGCTGAGCACCAGGAATCAAATTAATAACATGATCACAACTTCTTTCAGGGGAAAATTCAGTTGGTTCTTGAAACACATCACTGTAGGCTAACAATAGTCTTTCCACATCAGGCTTCATAATTTCCTTCTTCTTTCCTGTAGGACAATTCATTTACTACAGACAATTCAGCTAGCATTGTACCAGTTCCGCAGTGCAGTATTCTACTCAAGGCATCATTGTCTACTGGTGTGATCTTAGGTTTCTCATTTGCTCCCAACAGAGTCATCATTCATCCATCTTTTATAAAACTTAGACTGTTAGGTCTAGTATGCAGTATTATTGGGCTACTATATCAATCCAGTCCATTCCTAGGACCATATCACATCCTCCCACTTTAAGCCGCATGATTTTGAAAGTAAAGAGCTCATCCTGCATCTGCCAATTAAACATAGGGCTCTCCTTGTCACATCTCGTAATATGTCCATTGGCCACAACAATCCTTTATGGGATTGTCATAGAATGGACAAGCAACTTCAACATTTTTAACTACATGAGGATCAATGAAAGAGTATGTATATCCACTGTCAATTAATATAGTCATTGGAATCTTCTTGGTATGTCCCAGTAATTTGATAATAGAGGTAGTCCCTCCAACGGAACTTAGTCCCATTACCACATTCAGAGAAACTTCAGCTTGTTCCTCGACAAGTTCTTTTAAGGTTTTAGGTACATCCAAAAATTCCTCCATCTCAGGTTCCACTTCAGCTGCTACTCCTTCCATAACGTGAAGAGTTTTAGCCTTACATTGATGCCCGGGCTCATACTTCTCACGACACTTATAGCAAAGTCCCTATTTCCTAAGTGCCTCAAAACTGTTTGGTTTGAGAGGAGCTCTATTGGCAAGCCTCTGATTGGGTTATGTGATTCTCAGAGGTTGGTTTGGTGTTGGAGGTTGTGCTGGTTGCTTTGGGTTTTGTTGTGCTTTTGGATAAGTGATGGCTAAAGGTCTAGGATAAGTGAGATTTGGGTTGTTTCTGATTAGTAAGAGGGCAGTAAGGGTTGAGAATGACTCTTCATACAGCTTCGCAATTTCATACGCATCCATATCAATCACAGGATTTGCCAACTTCACTAATGGCTTTCGTTCAGGCTTCAAGCCACTAATATACTCCCTCCATTTCATATTAAATGAGGTACTTTACTTTTTAGTCTGTTCCAAAATAAATAACACATTTCTAAATTTGGAAATAATTCAACTTTAAACTCCTCATTTTACCCATTTTACTCTTAATGAGAAGCTTTTATAACCGCACAAAAATCATGGCCCCACAAAGCTTTACCCCTTAAGCTTTTAAGACCACAAATTTCATAGTCTTTCATTTTTTCCTTAAACTTCGTGCCGAGTCAAACTACCTCATTTAATTTGAAACGGAGGGAGTAATAAAGTTAGAAACAAAGTGAGTCTCATTTAACAATGGGTTGATGATTGTTATATAGCTGGTTAACTCCTTGAATCTTCTCCTGATATTGGTCGACACTTCCAACCTGCATCATTTTGTTAAATTCATCTATAATATCCTGTGGTCTGATATTACCAAACCTCCTACAAACCTCAGCACAAAATTTCTGCCAAGATACCCTTCCTCTATGATTAACCAAGTAGCTATCAAACCAAATATCCACCCGTCTCCCACATGCATAGAAGTTATTTCTCTTGTTCAGAAATATTATAGAGGGCAAAATATTTTTCACACTTCCGTAGCCAACCTCTAGGATTAGCACCATCCAATTCCGGGAAGTTGAACTTGGGTTTGAGGGATTACTGGTTTAGGTTCGACTGAACCAAGGTTAACTGGGGTTGGTAAAAGTGGGGTACTGGAGGAGTGAACATGGTTTTGAAAAATAGGGGAAGGATTGAAGATCGGGGATAGGGGCAAAGTAAAACCACGACCTACGGGGAAAGTCGAGAGGTACTCAGTTGATATACGGGAAAACTACAACTTAATAGATAAGGACTCAAGTTTCTACTTAAAAACTTAATAATTTTTCATTCATGACAGAACAAATGAGCAAAGTCCATAGAACATAACCGTGGAGTCCAAACAATTTTAACCTGTAAACTCGACGAGCGAAACAAGATAGAATTGAATGAAAATGATAAAGATACTTGAACAAACTACTTTTAACTTTATTCAGGCAACAACGTCAGAATAACACAAGAAAGTTTGTTTGGTACAGCATACGACCCAATCACCAAAACAGTATACTCTACCAAAACAACTGATTTCTTGGATTAATCTTTCAGCACAGCAACATATTTGAATATACTACTATCAGCTTCACATTGTGGGCCTTACATTGAGACGGGACGCGATCTTCTGACCAAGAGTTTTGTCAGCCTGCAACATATTCATGCAAAACATTGTTATCTTTCTGTCGCTGGATATATGTGGGACTAAAGAAACATCTAATGGAAAGAACCGAGACCTGTGACCAGTACGAAATCCAGATACTGCGTATCTCATGAGTGACTCTAGGATCGGATAGAGCATCAACCCATCTGCAGATAAATCTTTCTTGCCTGCAATAACAAGGCCACCAGATAAGTAATTGAGAGGGGTGGAAAGTTGGTGAAGTTAAAATAGCAAAGGAACTAAACTACCTGTCCGGTTCCCAAGATCTGTATCTCTCTCCCGGCTGCTTGAAGTTGTTCTCTTTTTCAATGATGCACTGCAATAGATGACAATTACGGTTTATGAAAATCAACTTCACACCAAAATCAAGATTTTCAACATGAACAATAGAATAAACATATCATCACCTTGTCGCGCTTTCCTGTCAAGACAGGAGGAGGAATTGGATACTGTTCTGCATGACGACAAGGATCAAACCTTGAGGGGAAATAGTTGACCTGAGAAAGCATATGGCATCCAGTTAAAACATGAAAAGAATTAGAACCATCCACATATCCACCCTTAGAGTTGGTGTGGGAACCAAAATTCACAACATAGATTCATAATTGACTAAGTACCTACTCCTGCCCTCCTAAGTTCACATAGACACAACAGAACAACTAATCTAACGAGTGAATAACATGCTTGATGACCCCTTTTTTTCTTTGTTAAATGGATAAACATTTAAAATTTTGCAATCCACTATAAAAAATTACTGCACCAACAACCTGTGTAGGAAGGGTGCACTATACCTCTTCATCACGGTGCATGAAATTCATGAAACCTTCGTGGTGATTATTGTGATGAGCACACTTGGGAGCGTTAGCTGGGAGCTGCAGATAGTTTGGCCCAAGACGGTGTCTCTGGGTATCAGAATATGAGAATATCCTAGTCTGGAGAAGCTTGTCATCCGAATAGTAAACACCAGGGACAACAATGGCAGGGCAAAAGGCAAGCTGCTCATTCTCTGCAAAGAAGTTATCGATATTCTTATTCAATACCAAGCGACCAACTGGCTGCAATGGCAAGATGTCCTCAGGCCAGGTCTTGGTTACATCTAGGGGGTCAAAGTCAAATCTGTCTTCATGATCAGGATCGATAATTTGGATGAACAGTTTCCACTCTGGATAGTTTCCAGCAGCAATTGAATCATAGAGATCCTTGGTGGCGTGACTATGATTCGCTCCTCCTACCTTAATAGCTTCTTCCTCCAACAAGCACTTGACTCCACAAGTTGGCTTCCAGTGGAACTTCACATAATGTGCTTTCCCAGCTTTGTTGATCAACATGTAGGTATTAACACCGGAACCTTCCATGTGCCTGTAATCTTGTGGGACACCGAGATCATCAAACAGGAAGGAGAACATATGCAAACTTTCTGGATGATGAGAGAAGAAATCAAGGATCCTCCAGTTCTCCTGAATGTGGGACTTCGGATTTGGTTTCAGTGCATGAACCATGTCAGGGAACTTCATCCCATCACGGATAAAGAAGACGGGGAAGTTGTTTCCGACCAAATCAAAGTTGCCCTGAAGTACAAAAAGGCAAAAAAGTAGATATGTGCGAATTTCAGTACCAACAAAAAGTAAATTAGAAAACTACAAATTCAACAAAAGTAATCCACGGAAGCAGCAAATTCAACCTTAATTGTTCGGAAACACAAGGCGGCCCTTAAGTAAATGATTATTGCCGCCAGAGGAAAATCATAAGGAACAGAACAAGGAAGAGAGGACACTTGAACTTCGCTGATTTTGAACATTTCTCTTTAACAAGTGAAAAATCAGCAGTTCTTTTTAACAAGTGAATACTCCCTTTGACATCATATTTGTTCAGAATAAATGACTGACCAAAAAAATCAGATTACAACACTAGATAAACGAATTTATGATCTTAAATGGTGTTTACAGTTGGATTTCATCGAGTTTGAGATTAGATAATTATTCTGAACAAAATTCACATGGGCACAGAGGGTTGCTGTTTAAAATTACTCAAAAGCACCGAACAAATGGAAAATCATGCAAATTAAGCATCACTAAAGGCTGAAACCGAACCACTTCTCACATAGAATACTTAACGTTTCAATTCTTAGTTTCCAAATGGTCAACGCTTGCGCTTCAATATTTTTTTTAAAAATCAGTTGCTAATTGCAGTCAGCAATCCTGAGAAATGAAATATAAGCTTGGTTTCGGAACAACGCTCTCATACCAGCTTAACAGGCATGAATTCAAGGATACTAAAGAATAACAATCTGACTAGAAAAACATGGCAAGAAAACCTAGCATCTGATTGAAAATTACCTCTCTGGTGTAAAATTTTACAGCAAATCCTCTGGGGTCCCTGAGGGTTTCAGGGCTTCCACGCTCGTGGATAACAGTAGAGAACCTCACAATAACAGGTGTCTGGACACCAGGAGCTCGGAGAAAATCAGCACATGTAAGATGGGTAATATCATGTGTGACCTCAAAGAAACCCTTGGCACTGGCACCTCTGGCATGAACAACGCGCTCCGGAATTCGTTCACGATCAAAATTGGCAAGCTTCTCCACCAGATGATAATCCTCAAGAAGAATTGGCCCTGCCAAAAAAGCAACGAGTTTCAAAATTCTTCATCCATTGCGCAAAATCTACTAAAACTGGAAAATGTTGAAAACATTACTATGATATCTCTAAAACTGCAAACCAGAGAATTTTATTTGTACTGATCTCATGAGAAACACCTTTATTACAAAGGGCAAATTGCATGATTTGAAATATAGAAAGAGTTTTTTAGCACTTTAATCAAGCTCCACCAAGTCTTGCCTGATTCAAATTATTCAAATGACATAGAAATGGTGAAAAGTGACAGATCTTGAACTTTCAACCGTACAAGTTTTCCTATTTTATTACACTGTTTACTGCTGACCATTATGGACGATAAAGAATCAAGCTAACCACATGTTTAGATCCAGCTCCTACTCATACCATGTTAATTACTTCCGTCTAGATCACATTTTTTGCGCCTGAGCATCACGGAGGACCAAATCAGGCCAACAAAATAAGAAAAGCACTTCCTGTTTGCTTATGCATTTATGTATTCATAACGACAAATGCAAAAGGAAAGATTGACAACACAAACCAGCTGATGGATTCACCTTATGACCGATTCAGAAATACAATAAGGAAGGCATGCCCAAGAGTTGACAGAAACTATATTGTCTTGACCTCAATCATCTTAACCATTAAACTAACAAACCAAATGTGTGTCCCTAACTTCAAATTATATGTACTAAAAACATTAAGGAGGAATTCATCACATCCAAGAAAACAAAACATACCATACTGGAATTTGGTTTCCCACACCCTTTAAAAAAAACAAGTTAGAAAGGATAACTGTTCTTATCAGTGTCCGTCGACCCTTTTTGTCACAACCCTCCTCCTTTACTAGCCGGGAATATGTTCATATACTAAATATTAGAATAAAAAGGAATACTCCACACACCAAAAAGAAAAGGTAAGAGACTTAAAAAAAATACCTCTAGTTCCAACAGTCATGGAAGAGTTGTTGTTCCACACGGGAGCACCGTAATTAGTTGTCATGAAGGGGGAATTGTTAGCGCTTGAAGGACGATACTGTGCCAAAATTTCACCATCATTAATCATGAATCTTATGTACACATATAACATAAAGCAAATCAAATATCCACCGGAAAAACTCATAATTCTAGCTCTATCTATTTCCAAAACCTTAAATCAATTAAAAAAAAATCAAAATAAAAACTAAATTAATTTTACGTATATCCATATGAAACCATAATGAAACACGAAAACAAGGATTAAATAATTAGTCTTCGGATGATCGAACTAAACACACACACCAAAAAAACTTAAATAAACAAGAACATTTCAAAATAAAAATTAAATCAATTTCAAGTATATCCTCACAGAAAACAATAAAATAAGGACAAAAATACCAAATTAATTAAAAAAAAAGGAGCTTAAATCAACATTGATAATTCGAGATAGAAATTCAAATAACTTCTTTTACCTCCTTGGACAAACCATAAGGAAAACCAGAAAAAAAAAACGTAAAAGGAATAAGCTACGAAAGAAACATATCAACCTAAGAATCAAATTCAACAACAACAAAAAAAAAATTCCTTTTTTGGAAAATCAAAAGAAATCTTATGCAATCATACAGATCATTATTAAAAAAAAACACTCAGAAAAAAAAAATTAAATCACAAGATATCGAAAGCAATAGATTTTCCTTTCTAATAGAGATTGAGAGAGTACCTTGTAAGGATCCATGGCGAGATAAGAGGAAAAGAAGATTTTCGGCGAAACGAAGAAGAAACTCAGTCGTGTGGGCAATCTGTTTTAGAGTGTCTTAAAAAGAGCAAATTTTATTATTTATATATAGAGATGTGGGGTCATTTTCAACCGCCTAACTCTCCTTTTTTGGCTCGCGTTTCTATTTTTTCACATTTAAATATAATATCCATTACTTATCCACGTTTTTCTTAATTACCATTATTATTATCACTAGTCATTATATTTCCTTTTCCTAATTAAAGTGAAAAAAAGGTGAAATATTAGACAATTTTTTCACCATACAAATTCTATTTTTCACTCCCATGAAAAATAGTAGTTCCACCCTCAAATTGCAAAACTTTTTTTGTAGCTTGAGATATGTAAAATTGTAAGTACTCTAAATTTTTAAATAGATTGGAGCAGGTCCCAAGCCCGAATAAAGAAAGATCGTACTATGCTGATAATTAAGTAAAATTAATTAATTTATGATAATCATGCAATATAAATATCAGTAGATTTTTAAAATTAAATGAATAAAATATATAATCTCTAAATTTTATAGTTAGTACTAAAAGTCTAAAATCAATATCAAATTATAAAAGTTTGAATTATATTATAAATATCATAAGGTTTGAATTGTAATTTGGTTAATAAATAATTGTCACCTAAGTGTGGATTGTACAAATTCCTCCAATTGGTGGGGGTGGGGGGTGGGGGGGGGGAATTAAATTAAAGAAGAGGGTCCACGAATCAAAAGCTTGTACTTTATGCAATGAATTGTTTTCCCTTTTTGTGGTGAATAACATTAAGATATTTCTGCATCTGAAAAAATAATAAATCTGAAATTTGGTAATAAATAATTTCACACGTCATTGGAAGAGGGAAAAAACAGAGCTTATCCAACTTTGGAGTTTATCCAGAGCTAATACACAGCCTCTAGATGAGTTGGGCCGTTGTGATGACGCCACGTGTCACAGAAGGACCTAGAACTGTGTGCACAGCCCAGAAATATTCCAAAATGGGCTTGAGAAAGCTATCTTGGACTTATTTCAATGGACGAGATTATGCAAGTGTGAACGCATGGAGATTCTGTGACAAAATAGCACGGTATAGTCAGTTTTCGGATTGGTCATTCAAAAATAGCCAGCGTTTATCAAGTCAACGAAAAATAGCCACTATTTTGCTGCAACTGAGACCGGTCCAGCATAATATATTATGCTGGACCGGTATGCTTGCTGGAACTCCAGTATATTATACTGGAGTTTTACTGTAGTTATGTTGGAACTCCATCATATTATGCTGGAGTTCCAGCATACTTATCCTGGAACTCCAGTATAATATGCTGGAGTTCAAGTATACTTATGCTAGAACTCCAGCATAATATACTGGCGTGTTTTTCGGATTTTAAACAGTATTTTTGCTTAAATTTATCTTTATATGAAAAATGGCTAAATTTTGATTACTTTTGAAACTGAACTATTTTTGAACGACCAGTTGTAAATTTGGCTATTTTTAAATTTCTGCCGATTCTGTTCATATGGATTAGTACAGTATGGGCCGTTCTGCTACTCATTAACTTTCTGGGCCCACCAACAACATTTATAAGACGTTTATTGTTGTTTTGATTTTAGTGGTTGAATAAATCATTGGAAAAGCTGTAACTTTGTTGTTGTAAATTTATAATTTTACATTTGTCGCTAATATTTTATCCCTTTTCTGGTGAAGGAGAATCCGTGATTAGTGAGGAGGGAAGATAACTTTGGTGAAATTACCATCTTTTGTTAAAATAATGTGCGTGAGGTTCTATAATGTTAATTATTATTCATATTTTTATAGAATATTGCTCCCGCCTTTTTCCGGACTTTGCATGAAGATAAGATACTTTTGCATCAAGCATATTCTTTTTATTACATGAGGAGACGAGATCAATTGGGATGCAGCATAAACTGAGATATTTTATGCGCCTGGTTGTCCTCTTTATTACATGGGGAGACAGGATCAGTTGGGGTGCGGTCCTTTTCGGACTCTGCGCGAACATGAAATACAAGGCCGGCTCAAAGCCTAGGCAAGTAAGGGATATGACTTAGGTTCCCAATTTCAAGGACCCCCAATTTAAAAGGAATAAGTTATGTGTTAATTTTTCCTTAAAAAAAGTATAAGTATTTTATAGTAAAAATTTATCATTTTGAAGTTGATGTGATTTTAAGGTATATTTTCTTAAACTTGATGTAACCTTCATTTTGCATTTTTTACATTCTAACCACTAAAACCTATAAGTATTATCTAAGAAATTGAGATTTAACCTATAAGTATTATTCTAAGAAATTGAGATTGTTAAATGATGAGAATTTGAAAAAAAAAAAATCGTGTTAACTTTTGATGATCCTTAAAGCATAAGTCACTCTAATATTGATGACTTAGACTTATTTCGAATTAATAGTGTTAAGAAAAATAGTAAAAGCAGAAGATAATACTCTAATCGATATACTCAATTACATAAAAACACTTGATTCTTATTTAAATGCCTAGCAATTGCCTCAACAGAACGAAGTTTTAAAAAAATAAAATACATAAGATCAAGAACGTCTCAAGAGTGAATAAATCGGTTAGTTATATTATCAATTGAAAAATAATTATTAAAGAAATCAATTATAAAAAATTCGGGCCCCTACTTTTAGCTATACTTTAGGTCCTTAATTATGTCGAGCTGCCCCTCATAAGATATGCATCGAGCTTATTACATGGGAAGACGGGAAAGGAAAAGGAGAAAGGTGGTAATTGGAGTCGAACATACACTTCTTGTGCAGAAAACTTCTGCTAATAGTCTAGGGGTGGCAAAATGGTTAAAAGAAAACAGGTAACTACCCATATTATCCACTAAAAAATGGGTTGGACAATGAACTTTTTAAAAACGGGTCAAATATGGATAAGAACCATATTATCCATTTAGAAAATGGATAACCAATGAGTAACCAATGGGTCTAACTTTTACATTTGTAAAGCCTCAAATTGGGGGTTCCTCAAGTTAGGGAAACTAGAATTCTCCCAAAAGTGATCATATACAAGAAGTCATGGATAATATGGGTAACCCATATTATCCGCCGGTTAACCCGTTTTTTTATCCGTATTAAATATGGGTCGGATCGGATAATTGATCCGCTTTTTTATTACCCGTTTTCGATCCGAACCATATCCTACCCGACCCGCCCGTTTGCCACTCCTACCATTGGACTGTGGTGGTCTCAATTGATATAGATTTCGAGAGATAATTGTCAATAATTTTCGCCATTAGCATATATTCAGCAACTACAGCAATTGCTTATAATATATTGTGACGTATATGTATGCTTCTAAGATGCTTTAGGTACGAGTGACAAACAGACGGGGCGGGGCGGATATGGTTCGGGTCGAAAACGAATAATGAAAAAACGGATAAATTATTCGACCGATCCATATTTAATACAGATAAAAAACGGGTTAACCGGTGGATAATATGGGTAACCATATTATCCATGACTTCTTACATATGATCACTTTTGGGAGAATTTCTAGTCTCCCTAACTTGAGTAACCCCCAATTTGAGGATTTACAAATGTAAAAGTTAGACCATTGGTTACCCATTTTCTAAATAGATAATATGATTCTTATCCATATTTGACCCGTTTTTAAAAAGTTCATTATCCAACCCATTTTTTAATGAATAATATGGGTGATTAACTGTTTTCTTTTAACCATTTTGCCACCACTAACTTTATGACTAAGTTCTAAATTTTGATAAAGAAAAATATAATAAAACGAAGCAAGTATATATAGGAAGATAAAACCAAGCATCTTTCAAAAAAGAATCTTCTCTTACCAACTATGCTAATTTGATTTGACCAAATCTAACATGTTACTATCTTTTCGATATTACCAACCTATGCTAGTTTGACATTTACCTGCATTTGACTTTTAAGTTCTTTATTTGTGTAAATATTTTCTATATTGTTAGTGAATATAACTTTACTTTATAGCACTAGCAGAAGATAGATAGAACTGTCAGACTGGAAAGGGCTAGTCTACCTAATATGCAAATCTTGAAAACATAGGTCAAAGAACAAGGAAAACATACAAATGAAGTGGAAGAAAACTTCAGCAGATGGAAAAAACATGTACAGATAGTATGAACTGATTATACCCAAAAGAATACCAAAGTTCAGTCCCGGATGACTTGTTGATCCCTAGAGGGCTAATCCAAGTAAAAAGCTTGCTATCAAAAAAAATAAACAAAAAAAAGACTACTAATGTTTAAAGAAGCCTACAGGCTCTGCTCAAGATCTTGTACCCTGTGAAGCAGAAGGCTCGAAAATAGGCCGTGCATCAGTGCAACATGAATTATTGCCATTAGACTCGTGCGCATCATTTCTTGGTTGGGACTAATGGAGCTGTCTGCGATAAGTTAGTAAACAAAGTGGATTTTCCCAAAACATTTAGGGCCTTCACTCGTTGCATTTCCTTTCCTGCAATGATTAGTGAAAAGGGAAGTTTTATTGAACTGTTCTTGTGTTGGTCGCTTTCTGAACAGATCTTGAAAAAGTTTAACAACAGCGCCAATAATGAATGGAAACCAGACTGTGAATAAAGAGCTCGCAAGAGAGTAAATTCAAGGCTTAAAGCCTCAATCTTGACACCTTTGAAACCAGTGGCAATTTGGGAAAGCTTTCAAACCCATATTGCAGCTGGACTTGAGTAGCATTTCCCTATTCAATTCCTCATTGGGCACGTTAGCAAATAAAGACACTAAATACCTTCCTCTAGACTTCCATTCTATGTGTTTCAAACCTAAAATGATTTTTGGTAGCAAGTAATGAATTACATATTTCAGGAGAGGCAAATTTGAATCCAGCACTTAGCAACAGTGCCTAACACGGATATATTGACTCAAGCATACTACAGGCTGCTAAATAACCCCACCAACAAAACATCTCTAGGAGTCATTTTGTTGCGACATCAGTCTGTGGAATACGTGGGTAGTAAGCTTAAGTCTTGATTTATTACAAGAACACATCAAGTTAAGCTAACCAAAAGTGCAAGAGA